TACCAATCTTCATCATCTTCCATCGCTGCGCGAAAGCACTATCACTCACATTAGCTCCCCGATTGAAAAAAGTCAGCGCCGAAATCAGAAACATACTGGTATCCCACGGCCAATGAACAACACAACCAATCATCGCAGATAACACTTCAACTCGATTCGAATATAATATTTATGAAGAGTTCAAATCTTGGGTCGATGAACCGAGGTAACTTATCAACACGTATTGATCGATAATGGTAACTTCCACCAATGAGAACACCCCAAGTGTATGTACGTCAATCACAGTTGACGGAGTCAATAACAATACAGATTTGAGATGTGCACCGACCTACACCACGATGATAATGACAGAGAAAATTCGCGGTATAATGGTGAAAAGAAAATAATAATAGTTCCTGATAATATAGCTACTGGAAACCTTCATCAATCAGTATAATCTTTTCACACACGGCTGCTGCCTTTACTCAGCAAGGCCTCGCTCAGCTTCCGAACTTGATCCTGCATCTCAACACATTGTCTCATTAATAGAGCAACTTGTGCTTGCAATTCGTGCTGATTCGGGGGAGAGTCGCCACCAGCGACCGTGCTAGCCTCATCGTGCGAGACCATAACGCCACTCTCGTCCAAAGCAGCGAGCTTCCTCAACAAAGGGTCGCTCGCACGATGACGATACGATGTGAGCGACTTAGGCATGCGAGTAATCTCCTCGGTGTTGTTGTGGAGGAAGTGAACAGCTGGAGCTTGGTGTCTATAACAAGGTATGTTTGTGATGGTGCCAGCACCACCCTGCATGAATTTCACAGTGAAAAAGGCATCCTCAGCAATAGTGATGAAAATATTAAGCACCACGTAAATAAACAGGGCCAGAAAAGAGTATAAAAATACCCTACTCCCCAGCACTGAGACATCCTTGAGGTTCGTAAACGTATCGTGGATCTGATCTCCATTCAAGAGAGAGAATAGAGCAGTACTTGAGTCACCCAAGCTGACGAACCAATGGCTGTGGAAGCCAAACAGACATACTGCGCATACAACAAACGACAAGTAAACCGGGAAGACCCCGACCAAGAACTTGAAGATTTGTGGTATGCCATGTGCAAGTGTTGAATATAAGATATACAGAGAACGAAAATGTGCCAAATATCGCACTAGGCTGACCAAAGCAATGGCCGCACTCACGCCGAACAAATTGAGTCTCATATAGATGTCGGGCCGATCCACTAGGAATGCATAACCAACAGCGACCAACTGGATGATGTTACCAATGAGCGAAAACAGCAACCACAGATTCATCACAGTTAACTTATCTTGTACACTAGAGTCTTTCAAAAAGGTATGAATGACCTTAATACGATAACCCAAAGCTAAGACGTTCACTGCTGCGCTTGCGAGTGCACAGACTAGCATCGTCAACAACGCCCATATAGCCCAGGTGCTGAGATGCACACCAGAACAACTATAGACGTGATAGTGTAAACGCAACGATAGCTGACCATCGCCGTTCTCTGCATATGTCGGTAACAACGAACGCTCTAAACACGAGTGGGAGCCCCCTGTATTGCGTGTCACGGATCTTCATAGG